GTTGGGAAAGCCTGCCTTTCAGTTGCTATTTCTAACCTCTTATCTTACGACAAGTATGAAGGAATTTCACCGGCATCCAACAAATGGATGGGATGGCTTGAATGGAAAATGTGTGAATTCTGCTTCCGCCTTTTGAAGACATTCCCCACGAGACCACGTCGCACGCTGGGGTTTCCCACCGGGGGAAGGGGGCCGTGCTCGGTCGCTGGTGGGGAAGGGCCTTTTGGAAAAATCTGCGGAATTCGCGGCGTTGCGGCGTTGGGAAAGAATTTTTCGGACTGAGTTCTTGCGCGTGCTGTATACCCCCTGCCCTTCTCGACAACACAATTTTTGGGGAAAAGGGCAAAAGTAGAAGCAGAAAACTTCCGGAAACTTCCTTGTAAATTGCAAAATGTGGTGGAAACTTGGAAAAACTAGGAAAGTTAGGTAGGAGGGAGTCCTATCAAAAGAGAAACTAGGGGGTGCTTTCCGGAAATTTCCCCGGCAACGAGCAGCAGGACGTGCACCAGCAGCGCTCAAGCAATTCGTAGGTGTCCTTCCTTCTACAAGTATGTAATCCGGTCCTCAATATCTCAGACTGTCCCACTTTCGCAGCTTCACAGAAAAAAATGAAGGCGTCGCGGTCCTCATAAGCGGCTGACACCTTCCTTGTTGCCCTACCCACCAATACTCAAAGGCTATTTCCCGTCAGGGATTCAGTTTGTGCACGGTGTACTCGGTTTTTTTCCACTTGGTATAGGCGCAGGATTACGCGAAGAGACGTTAGCCAGAGGTGGCAGTATATCCCTCTGCTGGCTTAAAAGGAGCTGGTCCGAACAACTTGTACAGAGAGTCTGCCCAGAGGTTCTTACGGTGTTCTCCACGCTTTTTTATTCTCTGGAGAGTCACTTCGCGACTTATTGAGCGCCACTTTCTACGATATGCAATGGCGGAGTTTGTCTTTCGAATGTCGGCACGTTCCAGTGCCTACCAGGATGGCTTATGTCAAGGCTCCTGATGACAAAGGCAAGCAAAAGTAAGAAAACATGAACAAGTCTTCTTCTCACAGTTTGAGTCAGACAAGGCTGCGGAAGTTTCGGTGATGAACCCCTTGTTCGCAACCGTGTGAGCTGACATAGATGGACCTAAAGGGCGCAGCTCTGCAACGGGGGTGGGGCAGGGGAGCATTTTTCATTTTTTGCTTCACTATTTCCGGTTTACAGGCATCACTCAGGTGAAACCTGTGAAACTCTTGTGAAGCTGGAGCAAACTCGTCAAGCCATCATGGTAAAACCTCTCAATTCGAGAAGAGGCTATCTAGATAGGTGAACTCATCGATGGAAAGTAGCAAAAGTGCACAATGCCCCCCCCCATGTTGCCGAACTGTCCCGAGCTAAAGTTATCACAATTTTCGATCCCGTTGCGAATTACCCTTGCCGTAGTGCATTGCAGCCACGGTACTCCCACTCTTTCACTGAAGCGCAGAACGTTAAGGTTCCAGGAACGTAAAGGGTATCGGATCTGGCAACTCCTCACTTTATTCCCTCTTTCCCCATCTTGCCCCTTTGTATGCCTTCGCTGAGTGCGCCATTTTCTTTGGAAAATCACCTTATTCTAAAAAATTAGCACTTTCTACCGTGACATTGACATTCGAGAATGTTTCCTTCTTCTGACGTCTCCTCATTACTGGGCTCATCATAGTGCCTGTTTTTTGCTTCAAATTCCTGTGTTTTTTGGGTGCTCTTCTATCCTTCTCAGCGCGTGTCCATATCATCGCAATTGCTGTTCTCGAACTTTTAAGCGAACAGGATTCCCCTGCATGACCGCCCTGACCCGTTCTCGGACTCGACCAGTTGAGCCTAACCGCTCATTGAACTGCCACTACATAAGTACGGTAACGGCACTGAACAAGGTCTGCTCTGAAGACAGTAGTTATCAGTAAAGATGTGTACAATGTATGAGACCGGACCAACGTCTGATTTGCTTCCACTATAAATAATCCATCTAAAAAATTTAGACCTCCCCAGCCGCACACTCGGCCGCAAAATTTCGGTAGAAATTTGTTAACATCCCGGTAAGATGTATTTTGTAAAAAGGATCAGGTCCGAAGGGAAAACTTGGGGGGGGAGGTCGTGTTGACACCATCATTTCACCCATAGGAATGCTGTACACTGTTTCAATTACCTTCAACAGGCTTGAGGAGCCTCCCGAGACAGATGGAATAGGTGGTTTTTCTAATAGGCGAAACGGACCAATCTTTAATCGTTTTCATCAACTTCCATGACTCATTTCATTCTCCCCCCCCCCCCTTTTTTTTCTACTT